AATATATTTATTTAAGATATAAAAACAGATAAATGTCAATAACTTAAGTGCCTACTCATATATATATTATAAAACATACCTACCCTATATACCTAAGTCAATCTAATGTGAAAAATTTTTAGACGTCTCGTCATAGGACTTATTACATAAGTGCTTAAAATTAAAATTATTCTATTCCCTATTCTTGCACTGATGACAACTAGTAAATCAAAGTATAATTAGCTTATGTGTAATATCTAGAAGTTAAGGTGGGTTGGTGGTGATATATATATTGTATTCTTACTATGTCACGCACAGAGCCGATATGCATCTATTTAGACATTCCTAGATAGACTTGTATTATGGTTGGTCAATTAAATACATCATGTATACAATAAACCTACAGAAGAAGGCAAGAGCATTTATTGGCATTTTATTTAAGTACCGATCTATATACTACTACTACTATTATACTATAGATGTGAAATAAATGGAATACAAAGAAAAATATCGTTTTATTGTCTATATTTTATCATTACATGTAATAAAATCGTCGAACTTTAACAAGGCGAAATCTGTGTTGTAATTTGTAAATTTGTGTGTTTACTTCCTCTCGTATACCTACTGATGATATATATATATTTATAAAATAAAGTATCGTTCTACAATTAGAATGAGAATTTCACATTACTGCAATGAAATAAGAACCATGGGTACAACGATAGCCTTTATAGGGGAACAAAATGAAATTTACGTACCTACGTAGGAGAAATAAGGGAAAATTAAACGATAATGTAGGAGAGAATGAGAATGATATAATTGTCTACTGTGGGTTAGGTGGGTAGGTACATTCGAATCATATATATCTATCTATAATTAATAATGATATATGATGTATATATAGTTGTTCTTGTAACAAAACATCCCGTCCCCTGGATGAATGGAACCAAAGAAGAATGTTATTTGTGCTTCTTACGACGCGACGCTAGACGCTAGTTTACATTTACCTACATGTGTTGTGTTCTACACGTGTTACAAGGCAATTATTGTTTACTATCGTAATTAACTGTTTAATTAAACAACACGCATACATACATACTACTACTAGACATACTATTTCAAATTATTAATCAATTATTATTTCTTACCAAGTAATAAGGTATTACCTATACCTATGTAAACATTTTTTGATCTAGAGGACATACTGGCTGGTTGTAAAAAAATCGTGTATCACTTGTTTTTTTTTTTCACAAAATTTAGTATTCTGTATCAATTTTACGGAAAAGAACGGGTTAAATTTTGGACATACTCGGAATTAGTAATCATGGGTTTTCAAGTGTAATGTTATTACGTAGCTTATTTTAGACAGCTTATTTGATGAGAAAGTTTTATTAGTAATTTGTACGATTAGAGTCATGTTTTTTTTAAGCTACATGGCACTTAAACTCAACAAACGTTATAAAAAAAAATCGTTTGTGGTCCTAGCTATTATTATACTTATTAAGCATTCATGGGTATTTTGTCAGTTATTATGTTTTTGTTACCAAGTCCTCTACACATAAAAATTAGGTTGAAATACATTCAACAAGCCATTTTTTTTAATAAGTTGTAAAGACGCTGAATTGGATATTTTTTTAAAAATCACATAATTTAGAATAACTCGAAACATATAGAGGGTCAAAATAATTGCATCTGAGCTCCTCTACCTAGTCCTGATGGGAAAACGTCGAGTCACCAGTAACCTTGTATACATGAGTAATATATTAGTTATCTGTGGTAATACCGATGGACAGAAACAAAAGATAGATGCTGACTGTTAAATAGTTCGTCCCGAAAATCATAGATGTCCTATATTTTGTTACGAGTTGTTCTTCCCCTCCCCTGAATGAATGGAACTGAATGGAACATTCTTAGCATCTTAGTACTGCGCTAACGCACATACACGTGGTATAATATAATTGTTGTTTACTATCGTAATTTTGTTTAATCAAATAACAATGGCTTATAATACACTAGAAGAACTAGCAATAAAGTTGTTTGATATAGATGCAGTTAAATTCGGGGAGTTTAAGACGAAGAGTGGAACTATGACACCTGTTTACTTTGATTTGAGGGTTATAGTTAGTTATCCGGACGTAATGGTATGTGAAAAATTAATATTCTTACTAATAAGTTGTATCTAATACTGTCTTATATTAACTTGAATTTATTGTACGACGTCAGATTCGACATTAGTTGTGTTTCATATTATATCTATTCCCAGGTTATTGAGACTGGTACTGTGGCTGTCATGTGGTGTTTTATAGAGTATCTATTGTATTCAAAATATTTATAATAATAATGTGTAAAGGGACCGGCTATATTATCAATTTAATTAACGACAATAATAAAATTATTTTTTTATTATTCAGAATTGAAATGAAATATGATTTTAATAATTTATTTGACTTGTATAAACATACTTGTGTTATAAACAGATGTTCAATATTTTAATATTTCAGATCCAATTCTAAAAGTGAATACACTTCAGGAATATAATTTGCTATTTTTGCATTATTTAAATATTAATTATCTACTTGTTTTTTTCAGGAACTATTAACAGTCCTGCTTTACGACATTGTTAGTAACCATAAAAAATATGATCACATATGTGGAGTCCCTTACACAGCTCTACCAATTGCTACTTTACTTAGTGTTAAGGTAAAGAAACCAATGCTATTGCGAAGAAAAGAGGCAAAAGCATATGGTACTAAGAAAATGATAGAAGGTCATTATAAAGTGGGTGAAACTTGTCTTATAATTGAAGATGTAGTAACTTCTGGTTCTAGTGTATTAGAAACAGTCAAAGATTTAAATAAAGAAGGGTTAATAGTTAAAAATGCTATAATTATTTTAGACAGAGAACAAGGTGGCAGAATGAATCTTGAATCCAATAATGTATATATTGATTCACTATTTACAATGACTGAGTTAATTGACATTCTCGAAAAACATAAAAAGATTACAAAAGAAATGTCTATAAAGATTCACAAATATTTTAAGAGAAGTTAAAGCACCAGTAACTAAAGGTAAGTGCATATATCTGATTTCTATATAAGATTTACCATTTATTATATCAACTCCTTGATATAAGTTATTTTGTTGATGTCCATTTCCAACAATTTAATAATACTCATTGTTTGCAGATTCATTTGAGGACAGAATTCGAATACCTTTCGAGAAGAGAGCAGAGTTATCAAAGAATCTAGTAGCAAAACAACTCTTTAACATTATGTCTATTAAAAAAACAAACCTATGTTTATCTGTCGATTTGACATCAACTGTAAAAATTCTCGAACTTCTTGAAAAAGTAGGAGAATACATATGCTTAGTGAAAACCCATGTTGATATTATAGAAGATTTTACTTCTGATTTCATTTCTCGACTTAAACAATTAGCGGACAGATTTAATTTTTTGATTCTGGAGGACAGGAAATTTGCGGATATTGGTAACACAGTATCATTACAATATCAAAAAGGGTTATATAAGATTTCAGAATGGGCAGATTGTGTGACATCTCATTCTTTACCTGGAGAGGGTATATTGAAGGCTCTGAGCAGTGCATGTACTGGAATAGAAAACCGTGGTGTATTTCTTCTAGCTGAAATGAGCAGTGAGGTATAAATAGAATCTTAGCTCTTAGATGAAACGAAATTTAAACTTAGAACCTGGTTATGTAAACAAATTATTTTTTTTGACAGGGAAATTTGATCTCTGCAGAATACAGAGAAGAAACTGTGAACATGGCTTCAAAGAATCCAAATATAATTACTGGTTTTGTATGCCAAAATAAGGATACATTTAAAGATCCTGGGCTGTTACAATTAACTCCTGGCGTACAACTCGAAAGTGCTAAGGACGATCTGGGTCAGTATACAATACACCAGAAAAAGTAATTTTAGAAAATGGTGCAGATATTGTGGTTGTTGGGCGCGGAATAGTCAATGCAAAGAGCCCAGAAGCACAGGCGGTCGTTTACAGAGATGCTTTATGGAAATGTTATTCAAAAAGAATCTCAGGTAAATTAGAGTAAGTGTTAGTTGAGTAAAAAAAAATATATATATATATATATATATATATATATATAATTATGGTATAGTAATTATATAACTAAAGAAGTAGTAATTGAGCGACGGAGCTGAGCTCGGCATCTATGCAATGGCGCTATATCTATAAAGTCAATTTTAGATTTGTTTTGGTTTAATACTGTCTTATATTAACTTGAATTTATTGTACGACGTCAGATTCGACATTAGTTGTGTTTCATATTATATCTATTCCCAGGTTATTGAGACTGTACTGTGGCTGTAATGTGGTGTTTTGAAGAGTATCTATTGTATTCAAAATATTTATAATAATAATGTGTAAAGGGACCGGCTATATTATCAATTTAATTAACGACAATAATAAAATTATTTTTTTATTATTCAGAATTGAAATGAAATATGATTTTAATAATTTATTTGACTTGTATAAACATACTTGTGTTATAAACAGATGTTCAATATTTTAATATTTCAGATCCAATTCTAAAAGTGAATACACTTCAGGAATATAATTTGCTATTTTTGCATTATTTAAATATTAATTATCTACTTGTTTTTTTCAGGAACTATTAACAGTCCTGCTTTACGACATTGTTAGTAACCATAAAAAATATGATCACATATGTGGAGTACCTTACACAGCTCTACCAATTGCTACTTTACTAAGTGTTAAGGTAAAGAAACCAATGCTATTGCGAAGAAAAGATGCAAAAGCATATGGTACTAAGAAAATGATAGAAGGTCATTGTAAAGTGGGTGAAACTTGTCTTATAATTGAAGATGTAGTAACTTCTGGTTCTAGTGTATTAGAAACAGTCAAAGATTTAAATAAAGAAGGGTTAATAGTTAAAAATGCTATAATTATTTTAGACAGAGAACAAGGTGGCAGAATGAATCTTGAATCCAATAATGTATATATTGATTCACTATTTACAATGACTGAGTTAATTGACATTCTCGAAAAACATAAAAAGATTACAAAAGAAATGTCTATAAAGCTTCACAAATATCTAAGAGAAGTTAAAGCACCAGTAACTAAAGGTAAGTGCATATATCTGATTTCTATATAAGATTTACCATTTATTATATCAACTCCTTGATATAAGTTATTTTATTGATGACCATTTCCAACAATTTAATAATACTCATTGTTTGCAGATTAATTTGAGGACAGAATTCGAATACCTTTCGAGAAGAGAGCAGAGTTATCAAAGAATCTAGTAGCAAAACAACTCTTTAACATTATGTCTATTAAAAAAACAAACCTATGTTTATCTGTCGATTTGACATCATCTGTAAAAATTCTCGAACTTCTAGAAAAAGTAGGAGAATACATATGCTTAGTGAAAACCCATGTTGATATTATAGAAGATTTTACTTCTGATTTCATTTCTCGACTTAAACAATTAGCGGACAGATTTAATTTTTTGATTCTGGAGGACAGGAAATTTGCGGATATTGGTAACACAGTATCATTACAATATCAAAAAGGGTTATATAAGATTTCAGAATGGGGAGATTGTGTGACATCTCATTCTTTACCTGGAGAGGGTATATTGAAGGCTCTGAGCAGTGCATGTACTGGAATAGAAAACCGTGGTGTATTTCTTCTGGCTGAATTGAGCAGTGAGGTATAAATAGAATCTTAGCTCTTAGATGAAACGAAATTTAAACTTAGAACCTGGTTATGTAAACAAATTATTTTTTTGACAGGGAAATTTGATTTCTGCAGAATACAGAGAAGAAACTGAACATGGCTTCAAAGAATCCAAATATAATTACTGGTTTTGTATGCCAAAATAAGGATACATTTAAAGATCCTGGGCTGTTACAATTAACTCCTGGCGTACAACTCGAAAGTGCTAAGGACGATCTGGGTCAAGTATACAATACACCAGAAAAAGTAATTTTAGAAAATGGTGCAGATATTGTGGTTGTTGGGCGCGGAATAGTCAATGCAAAGAGCCCAGAAGCACAGGCGGTCGTTTACAGAGATGCTTTATGGAAATGTTATTCAAAAAGAATCTCAGGTAAATTAGAGTAAGTGTTAGTTGAGTAAAAAATTATTATTACATATATATATATATATATATATAATTATGGTATAGTAATTATATAACTAAAGAAGTAGTAATTGAGCGACGGAGCTGAGTTCGGCATCTATGCAATGGCGCTATATCTATAAAGTAAATTTTAGATTTGTTTTGGTTTAAATAGAGTGACTTGACAGAGGTCCTATAAACTTTAGAAACTATAAAATACAGGTTCTTATATTTGTGTACAAACAGGATAGATCGTAAAATATATACTAAGCGGAAGTTTTATTTGTGAATACAACTTTCGAAACATTCCAGTCTAATATATTTATTTAAGATATAAAAACAGATAAATGTCAATAACTTAAGTGCCTACTCATATATATATTATAAAACATACCTACCCTATATACCTAAGTCAATCTAATGTGAAAAATTTTTAGACGTCTCGTCATAGGACTTATTACATAAGTGCTTAAAATTAAAATTATTATATTCCCTATTCTTGCACTGATGACAACTAGTAAATCAAAGTATAATTAGCTTATGTGTAATATCTAGAAGTTAAGGTGGGTTGGTGGTGATATATATATTGTATTCTTACTATGTCACGCACAGAGCCGATATGCATCTATTTAGACATTCCTAGATAGACTTGTATTATGGTTGGTCAATTAAATACATCATGTATACAATAAACCTACAGAAGAAGGCAAGAGCATTTATTGGCATTTTATTTAAGTACCGATCTATATACTACTACTACTATTATACTATAGATGTGAAATAAATGGAATACAAGAAAAATATCGTTTTATTGTCTATATTTTATCGTTACATGTAATAAAATCGTCGAACTTTAACAAGGCGAAATCTGTGTTGTAATTTGTAAATTTGTGTGTTTACTTCCTCTCGTATACCTACTGATGATATATATATATTTATAAAATAAAGTATCGTTCTACAATTAGAATGAGAATTTCACATTACTGCAATGAAATAAGAACCATGGGTACAACGATAGCCTTTATAGGGGAACAAAATGAAATTTACGTACCTACGTAGGAGAAATAAGGGAAAATTAAACGATAATGTAGGAGAGAATGAGAATGATATAATTGTCTACTGTGGGTTAGGTGGGTAGGTACATTCGAATCATATATATCTATCTATAATTAATAATGATATATGATGTATATATAGTTGTTCTTGTAACAAAACATCCCGTCCCCTGGATGAATGGAACCAAAGAAGAATGTTATATGTGCTTCTTACGACGCGACGCTAGACGCTAGATTACATTTACCTACATGTGTTGTGTTCTACACGTGTTACAAGGCAATTATTGTTTACTATCGTAATTAACTGTTTAATTAAACAACACGCATACATACATACATACTACTACTAGACATACTATTTCAAATTATTAATCAATTATTATTTCTTACCAAGTAATAAGGTATTACCTATACCTATGTAAACATTTTTTGATCTAGAGGACATACTGGCTGGTTGTAAAAAAATCGTGTATCATTTTTTTTTTTTCACAAAATTTAGTATTCTGTATCAATTTTACGGAAAAGAACGGGTTAAATTTTGGACATACTCGGAATTAGTAATCATGGGTTTTCAAGTGTAATGTTATTACGTAGCTTATTTTAGACAGCTTATTTGATGAGAAAGTTTTATTAGTAATTTGTACGATTAGAGTCATGTTTTTTTTAAGCTACATGGCACTTAAACTCAACAAACGTTATAATATCGTTTGTATATATATATATATATATTAAGCATTCATGGGTATTTTGTCAGTTATTATGTTTTTGTTAATACACATATAGGTTGAAATACATTCAACAAGCCATTTTTTTTAATAAGTTGTAAAGACGCTGAATTGGATATTTTTTTAAAAATCACATAATTTAGAATAACTCGAAACATATAGAGGGTCAAAATAATTGCATCTGAGCTCCTCTACCTAGTCCTGATGGGAAAACGTCGAGTCACCAGTAATGTATACATGAGTAATATATTAGTTATCTGTGGTAATACCGATGGACAGAAACAAAAGATAGATGCTGACTGTTAAATAGTTCGTCCCGAAAATCATAGATGTCCTATATTTTGTTACGAGTTGTTCTTCCCCTCCCCTGAATGAATGGAACTGAATGGAACATTCTTAGCATCTTAGTACTGCGCTAACGCACATACACACGTGGTATAATATAATTGTTGTTTACTATCGTAATTTTGTTTAATCAAATAACAATGGCTTATAATACACTAGAATCTAGCAATAAAGTTGTTTGATATAGATGCAGTTAAATTCGGGGAGTTTAAGACGAAGAGTGGAACTATGACACCTGTTTACTTTGATTTGAGGGTTATAGTTAGTTATCCGGACGTAATGGTATGTGAAAAATTAATATTCTTACTAATAAGTTGTATCTAATACTGTCTTATATTAACTTGAATTTATTGTACGACGTCAGATTCGACATTAGTTGTGTTTCATATTATATCTATTCCCAGGTTATTGAGACTGGTACTGTGGCTGTCATGTGGTGTTTTGAAGAGTATCTATTGTATTCAAAATATTTATAATAATAATGTGTAAAGGGACCGGCTATATTATCAATTTAATTAACGACAATAATAAAATTATTTTTTTATTATTCAGAATTGAAATGAAATATGATTTTAATAATTTATTTGACTTGTATAAACATACTTGTGTTATAAACAGATGTTCAATATTTTAATATTTCAGATCCAATTCTAAAAGTGAATACACTTCAGGAATATAATTTGCTATTTTTGCATTATTTAAATATTAATTATCTACTTGTTTTTTTCAGGAACTATTAACAGTCCTGCTTTACGACATTGTTAGTAACCATAAAAAATATGATCACATATGTGGAGTCCCTTACACAGCTCTACCAATTGCTACTTTACTTAGTGTTAAGGTAAAGAAACCAATGCTATTGCGAAGAAAAGAGGCAAAAGCATATGGTACTAAGAAAATGATAGAAGGTCATTATAAAGTGGGTGAAACTTGTCTTATAATTGAAGATGTAGTAACTTCTGGTTCTAGTGTATTAGAAACAGTCAAAGATTTAAATAAAGAAGGGTTAATAGTTAAAAATGCTATAATTATTTTAGACAGAGAACAAGGTGGCAGAATGAATCTTGAATCCAATAATGTATATATTGATTCACTATTTACAATGACTGAGTTAATTGACATTCTCGAAAAACATAAAAAGATTACAAAAGAAATGTCTATAAAGATTCACAAATATTTAAGAGAAGTTAAAGCACCAGTAACTAAAGGTAAGTGCATATATCTGATTTCTATATAAGATTTACCATTTATTATATCAACTCCTTGATATAAGTTATTTTGTTGATGTCCATTTCCAACAATTTAATAATACTCATTGTTTGCAGATTCATTTGAGGACAGAATTCGAATACCTTTCGAGAAGAGAGCAGAGTTATCAAAGAATCTAGTAGCAAAACAACTCTTTAACATTATGTCTATTAAAAAAACAAACCTATGTTTATCTGTCGATTTGACATCAACTGTAAAAATTCTCGAACTTCTTGAAAAAGTAGGAGAATACATATGCTTAGTGAAAACCCATGTTGATATTATAGAAGATTTTACTTCTGATTTCATTTCTCGACTTAAACAATTAGCGGACAGATTTAATTTTTTGATTCTGGAGGACAGGAAATTTGCGGATATTGGTAACACAGTATCATTACAATATCAAAAAGGGTTATATAAGATTTCAGAATGGGCAGATTGTGTGACATCTCATTCTTTACCTGGAGAGGGTATATTGAAGGCTCTGAGCAGTGCATGTACTGGAATAGAAAACCGTGGTGTATTTCTTCTAGCTGAAATGAGCAGTGAGGTATAAATAGAATCTTAGCTCTTAGATGAAACGAAATTTAAACTTAGAACCTGGTTATGTAAACAAATTATTTTTTTTGACAGGGAAATTTGATCTCTGCAGAATACAGAGAAGAAACTGTGAACATGGCTTCAAAGAATCCAAATATAATTACTGGTTTTGTATGCCAAAATAAGGATACATTTAAAGATCCTGGGCTGTTACAATTAACTCCTGGCGTACAACTCGAAAGTGCTAAGGACGATCTGGGTCAAGTATACAATACACCAGAAAAAGTAATTTTAGAAAATGGTGCAGATATTGTGGTTGTTGGGCGCGGAATAGTCAATGCAAAGAGCCCAGAAGCACAGGCGGTCGTTTACAGAGATGCTTTATGGAAATGTTATTCAAAAAGAATCTCAGGTAAATTAGAGTAAGTGTTAGTTGAGTAAAAATATATATATATATATATATATATATATATATAATTATGGTATAGTAATTATATAACTAAAGAAGTAGTAATTGAGCGACGGAGCTGAGCTCGGCATCTATGCAATGGCGCTATATCTATAAAGTCAATTTTAGATTTGTTTTGGTTTAATACTGTCTTATATTAACTTGAATTTATTGTACGACGTCAGATTCGACATTAGTTGTGTTTCATATTATATCTATTCCCAGGTTATTGAGACTGTACTGTGGCTGTAATGTGGTGTTTTGAAGAGTATCTATTGTATTCAAAATATTTATAATAATAATGTGTAAAGGGACCGGCTATATTATCAATTTAATTAACGACAATAATAAAATTATTTTTTTATTATTCAGAATTGAAATGAAATATGATTTTAATAATTTATTTGACTTGTATAAACATACTTGTGTTATAAACAGATGTTCAATATTTTAATATTTCAGATCCAATTCTAAAAGTGAATACACTTCAGGAATATAATTTGCTATTTTTGCATTATTTAAATATTAATTATCTACTTGTTTTTTTCAGGAACTATTAACAGTCCTGCTTTACGACATTGTTAGTAACCATAAAAAATATGATCACATATGTGGAGTACCTTACACAGCTCTACCAATTGCTACTTTACTTAAGTGTTAAGGTAAAGAAACCAATGCTATTGCGAAGAAAAGATGCAAAAGCATATGGTACTAAGAAAATGATAGAAGGTCATTATAAAGTGGGTGAAACTTGTCTTATAATTGAAGATGTAGTAACTTCTGGTTCTAGTGTATTAGAAACAGTCAAAGATTTAAATAAAGAAGGGTTAATAGTTAAAAATGCTATAATTATTTTAGACAGAGAACAAGGTGGCAGAATGAATCTTGAATCCAATAATGTATATATTGATTCACTATTTACAATGACTGAGTTAATTGACATTCTCGAAAAACATAAAAAGATTACAAAAGAAATGTCTATAAAGATTCACAAATATTTAAGAGAAGTTAAAGCACCAGTAACTAAAGGTAAGTGCATATATCTGATTTCTATATAAGATTTACCATTTATTATATCAACTCCTTGATATAAGTTATTTTATTGATGTCCATTTCCAACAATTTAATAATACTCATTGTTTGCAGATTCATTTGAGGACAGAATTCGAATACCTTTCGAGAAGAGAGCAGAGTTATCAAAGAATCTAGTAGCAAAACAACTCTTTAACATTATGTCTATTAAAAAAACAAACCTATGTTTATCTGTCGATTTGACATCATCTGTAAAAATTCTCGAACTTCTAGAAAAAGTAGGAGAATACATATGCTTAGTGAAAACCCATGTTGATATTATAGAAGATTTTACTTCTGATTTCATTTCTCGACTTAAACAATTAGCGGACAGATTTAATTTTTTGATTCTGGAGGACAGGAAATTTGCGGATATTGGTAACACAGTATCATTACAATATCAAAAAGGGTTATATAAGATTTCAGAATGGGCAGATTGTGTGACATCTCATTCTTTACCTGGAGAGGGTATATTGAAGGCTCTGAGCAGTGCATGTACTGGAATAGAAAACCGTGGTGTATTTCTTCTAGCTGAAATGAGCAGTGAGGTATAAATAGAATCTTAGCTCTTAGATGAAACGAAATTTAAACTTAGAACCTGGTTATGTAAACAAATTATTTTTTTGACAGGGAAATTTGATTTCTGCAGAATACAGAGAAGAAACTGAACATGGCTTCAAAGAATCCAAATATAATTACTGGTTTTGTATGCCAAAATAAGGATACATTTAAAGATCCTGGGCTGTTACAATTAACTCCTGGCGTACAACTCGAAAGTGCTAAGGACGATCTGGGTCAAGTATACAATACACCAGAAAAAGTAATTTTAGAAAATGGTGCAGATATTGTGGTTGTTGGGCGCGGAATAGTCAATGCAAAGAGCCCAGAAGCACATATCGTTTACAGAGATGCTTTATGGAAATGTTATTCAAAAAGAATCTCAGGTAAATTAGAGTAAGTGTTAGTTGAGTAAAAAATTATTATTACATATATATATATATATAATTATGGTATATAATTATATAACTAAAGAATAGTAATTGAGCGACGGAGCTGAGTTCGGCATCTATGCAATGGCGCTATATCTATAAAGTAAATTTTAGATTTGTTTTGGTTTAAATAGAGTGACTTGACAGATCCTATAAACTTTAGAAACTATAAAATACAGGTTCTTATATTTGTGTACAAACAGGATAGATCGTAAAATATATACTAAGCGGAAGTTTTATTTGTGAATAACTTTCGAAACATTCCAGTCTAATATATTTATTTAAGATATAAAAACAGATAAATGTCAATAACTTAAGTGCCTACTCATATATATATTATAAAACATACCTACCCTATATACCTAAGTCAATCTAATGTGAAAAATTTTTAGACGTCTCGTCATAGGACTTATTACATAAGTGCTTAAAATTAAAATTATTCTATTCCCTATTCTTGCACTGATGACAACTAGTAAATCAAAGTATAATTAGCTTATGTGTAATATCTAGAAGTTAAGGTGGGTTGGTGGTGATATATATATTGTATTCTTACTATGTCACGCACAGAGCCGATATGCATCTATTTAGACATTCCTAGATAGACTTGTATTATGGTTGGTCAATTAAATACATCATGTATACAATAAACCTACAGAAGAAGGCAAGAGCATTTATTGGCATTTTATTTAAGTACCGATCTATATACTACTACTACTATTATACTATAGATGTGAAATAAATGGAATACAAAGAAAAATATCGTTTTATTGTCTATATTTTATCGTTACATGTAATAAAATCGTCGAACTTTAACAAGGCGAAATCTGTGTTGTAATTTGTAAATTTGTGTGTTTACTTCCTCGTATACCTACTGATGATATATATATATTTATAAAATAAAGTATCGTTCTACAATTAGAATGAGAATTTCACATTACTGCAATGAAATAAGAACCATGGGTACAACGATAGCCTTTATAGGGGAACAAAATGAAATTTACGTACCTACGTAGGAGAAATAAGGGAAAATTAAACGATAATGTAGGAGAGAATGAGAATGATATAATTGTCTACTGTGGGTTAGGTGGGTAGGTACATTCGAATCATATATATCTATCTATAATTAATAATGATATATGATGTATATATAGTTGTTCTTGTAACAAAACATCCCGTCCCCTGGATGAATGGAACCAAAGAAGAATGTTATATGTGCTTCTTACGACGCGACGCTAGACTCTAGTTTACATTTACCTACATGTGTTGTGTTCTACACGTGTTACAAGGCAATTATTGTTTACTATCGTAATTAACTGTTTAATTAAACAACACGCATACATACATACTACTACTAGACATACTATTTCAAATTATTAATCAATTATTATTTCTTACCAAGTAATAAGGTATTACCTATACCTATGTAAACATTTTTCGATCTAGAGGACATACTGGCTGGTTGTAAAAAAATCGTGTATCACTTGTTTTTTTTTTCACAAAATTTAGTATTCTGTATCAATTTTATGGAAAAGAACGGGTTAAATTTTGGACATACTCGGAATTAGTAATCATGGGTTTTCAAGTGTAATGTTATTACGTAGCTTATTTTAGACAGCTTATTTGATGAGAAAGTTTTATATATGTTTTTTTTAATTACATGGCACTTAAACTCAACAAACGTTATAAAAAAAAATCGTTTGTGGTCCTAGCTATTATTATACTTATTAAGCATTCATGGGTATTTTGTCAGTTATTATGTTTTTGTTACCAAGTCCTCTACACATAAAAATTAGGTTGAAATACATTCAACAAGCCATTTTTTTTAATAAGTTGTAAAGACGCTGATTTGGATATTTTTTTAAAAATCACATAATTTAGAATAACTCGAAACATATAGAGGGTCAAAATAATTGCATCTGAGCTCCTCTACCTAGTCCTGATGGGAAAACGTCGAGTCACCAGTAACCTTGTATACATGAGTAATATATTAGTTATCTGTGGTAATACCGATGGACAGAAACAAAAGATAGATGCTGACTGTTAAATAGTTCGTCCCGAAAATCATAGATGTCCTATATTTTGTTACGAGTTGTTCTTCCCCTCCCCTGAATGAATGGAACTGAATGGAACATTCTTAGCATCTTAGTACTGCGCTAACGCACATACACACGTGGTATAATATAATTGTTGTTTACTATCGTAATTTTGTTTAATCAAATAACAATGGCTTATAATACACTAGAAGAACTAGCAATAAAGTTGTTTGATATAGATGCAGTTAAATTCGGGGAGTTTAAGACGAAGAGTGGAACTATGACACCTGTTTACTTTGATTTGAGGGTTATAGTTAGTTATCCGGACGTAATGGTATGTGAAAAATTAATATTCTTACTAATAAGTTGTATCTAATACTGTCTTATATTAACTTGAATTTATTGTACGACGTCAGATTCGACATTAGTTGTGTTTCATATTATATCTATTCCCAGGTTATTGAGACTGGTACTGTGGCTGTCATGTGGTGTTTTATAGAGTATCTATTGTATTCAAAATATTTATAATAATAATGTGTAAAGGGACCGGCTATATTATCAATTTAATTAACGACAATAATAAAATTATTTTTTTATTATTCAGAATTGAAATGAAATATGATTTTAATAATTTATTTGACTTGTATAAACATACTTGTGTTATAAACAGATGTTCAATATTTTAATATTTCAGATCCAATTCTAAAAGTGAATACACTTCAGGAATATAATTTGCTATTTTTGCATTATTTAAATATTAATTATCTACTTGTTTTTTTCAGGAACTATTAACAGTCCTGCTTTACGACATTGTTAGTAACCATAAAAAATATGATCACATATGTGGAGTCCCTTACACAGCTCTACCAATTGCTACTTTACTTAGTGTTAAGGTAAAGAAACCAATGCTATTGCGAAGAAAAGAGGCAAAAGCATATGGTACTAAGAAAATGATAGAAGGTCATTATAAAGTGGGTGAAACTTGTCTTATAATTGAAGATGTAGTAACTTCTGGTTCTAGTGTATTAGAAACAGTCAAAGATTTAAATAAAGAAGGGTTAATAGTTAAAAATGCTATAATTATTTTAGACAGAGAACAAGGTGGCAGAATGAATCTTGAATCCAATAATGTATATATTGATTCACTATTTACAATGACTGAGTTAATTGACATTCTCGAAAAACATAAAAAGATTACAAAAGAAATGTCTATAAAGATTCACAAATATTTAAGAGAAGTTAAAGCACCAGTAACTAAAGGTAAGTGCATATATCTGATTTCTATATAAGATTTACCATTTATTATATCAACTCCTTGATATAAGTTATTTTGTTGATGTCCATTTCCAACAATTTAATAATACTCATTGTTTGCAGATTCATTTGAGGACAGAATTCGAATACCTTTCGAGAAGAGAGCAGAGTTATCAAAGAATCTAGTAGCAAAACAACTCTTTAACATTATGTCTATTAAAAAAACAAACCTATGTTTATCTGTCGATTTGACATCAACTGTAAAAATTCTCGAACTTCTTGAAAAAGTAGGAGAATACATATGCTTAGTGAAAACCCATGTTGATATTATAGAAGATTTTACTTCTGATTTCATTTCTCGACTTAAACAATTAGCGGACAGATTTAATTTTTTGATTCTGGAGGACAGGAAATTTGCGGATATTGGTAACACAGTATCATTACAATATCAAAAAGGGTTATATAAGATTTCAGAATGGGCAGATTGTGTGACATCTCATTCTTTACCTGGAGAGGGTATATTGAAGGCTCTGAGCAGTGCATGTACTGGAATAGAAAACCGTGGTGTATTTCTTCTAGCTGAAATGAGCAGTGAGGTATAAATAGAATCTTAGCTCTTAGATGAAACGAAATTTAAACTTAGAACCTGGTTATGTAAACAAATTATTTTTTTTGACAGGGAAATTTGATCTCTGCAGAATACAGAGAAGAAAGTGTGAACATGGCTTCAAAGAATCCAAATATAATTACTGGTTTTGTATGCCAAAATAAGGATACATTTAAAGATCCTGGGCTGTTACAATTAACTCCTGGCGTACAACTCGAAAGTGCTAAGGACGATCTGGGTCAAGTATACAATACACCAGAAAAAGTAATTTTAGAAAATGGTGCAGATATTGTGGTTGTTGGGCGCGGAATAGTCAATGCAAAGAGCCCAGAAGCACAGGCGGTCGTTTACAGAGATGCTTTATGGAAATGTTATTCAAAAAGAATCTCAGGTAAATTAGAGTAAGTGTTAGTTGAGTAAAAAATTATTATTACGTATATATATATAATTATGGTATAGTAATTATATAACTAAAGAAGTAGTAATTGAGCGACGGAGCTGAGCTCGGCATCTATGCAATGGCGCTATATCTATAAAGTCAATTTTAGATTTGTTTTGGTTTAATACTGTCTTATATTAACTTGAATTTATTGTACGACGTCAGATTCGACATTAGTTGTGTTTCATATTATATCTATTCCCAGGTTATTGAGACTGTACTGTGGCTGTAATGTGGTGTTTTGAAGAGTATCTATTGTATTCAAAATATTTATAATAATAATGTGTAAAGGGACCGGCTATATTATCAATTTAATTAACGACAATAATAAAATTATTTTTTTATTATTCAGAATTGAAATGAAATATGATTTTAATAATTTATTTGACTTGTATAAACATACTTGTGTTATAAACAGATGTTCAATATTTTAATATTTCAGATCCAATTCTAAAAGTGAATACACTTCAGGAATATAATTTGCTATTTTTGCATTATTTAAATATTAATTATCTACTTGTTTTTTTCAGGAACTATTAACAGTCCTGCTTTACGACATTGTTAGTAACCATAAAAAATATGATCACATATGTGGAGTACCTTACACAGCTCTACCAATTGCTACTTTACTAAGTGTTAAGGTAAAGAAACCAATGCTATTGCGAAGAAAAGATGCAAAAGCATATGGTACTAAGAAAATGATAGAAGGTCATTGTAAAGTGGGTGAAACTTGTCTTATAATTGAAGATGTAGTAACTTCTGGTTCTAGTGTATTAGAAACAGTCAAAGATTTAAATAAAGAAGGGTTAATAGTTAAAAATGCTATAATTATTTTAGACAGAGAACAAGGTGGCAGAATGAATCTTGAATCCAATAATGTATATATTGATTCACTATTTACAATGACTGAGTTAATTGACATTCTCGAAAAACATAAAAAGATTACAAAAGAAATGTCTATAAAGCTTCACAAATATCTAAGAGAAGTTAAAGCACCAGTAACTAAAGGTAAGTGCGTATATCTGATTTCTATATAAGATTTACCATTTATTATATCAACTCCTTGATATAAGTTATTTTATTGATGACCATTTCCAACAATTTAATAATACTCATTGTTTGCAGATTAATTTGAGGACAGAATTCGAATACCTTTCGAGAAGAGAGCAGAGTTATCAAAGAATCTAGTAGCAAAATAACTCTTTAACATTATGTCTATTAAAAAAACAAACCTATGTTTATCTGTCGATTTGACATCATCTGTAAAAATTCTCGAACTTCTAGAAAAAGTAGGAGAATACATATGCTTAGTGAAAACCCATGTTGATATTATAGAAGATTTTACTTCTGATTTCATTTCTCGACTTAAACAATTAGCGGACAGATTTAATTTTTTGATTCTGGAGGACAGGAAATTTGCGGATATTGGTAACACAGTATCATTACAATATCAAAAAGGGTTATATAAGATTTCAGAATGGGGAGATTGTGTGACATCTCATTCTTTACCTGGAGAGGGTATATTGAAGGCTCTGAGCAGTGCATGTACTGGAATAGAAAACCGTGGTGTATTTCTTCTGGCTGAATTGAGCAGTGAGGTATAAATAGAATCTTAGCTCTTAGATGAAACGAAATTTAAACTTAGAACCTGGTTATGTAAACAAATTATTTTTTTGACAGGGAAATTTGATTTCTGCAGAATACAGAGAAGAAACTGAACATGGCTTCAAAGAATCCAAATATAATTACTGGTTTTGTATGCCAAAATAAGGATACATTTAAAGATCCTGGGCTGTTACAATTAACTCCTGGCGTACAACTCGAAAGTGCTAAGGACGATCTGGGTCAAGTATACAATACACCAGAAAAAGTAATTTTAGAAAATGGTGCAGATATTGTGGTTGTTGGGCGCGGAATAGTCAATGCAAAGAGCCCAGAAGCACAGGCGGTCGTTTACAGAGATGCTTTATGGAAATGTTATTCAAAAAGAATCTCAGGTAAATTAGAGTAAGTGTTAGTTGAGTAAAAAATTATTATTACATATATATATATATATATATAATTATGGTATAGTAATTATATAACTAAAGAAGTAGTAATTGAGCGACGGAGCTGAGTTCGGCATCTATGCAATGGCGCTATATCTATAAAGTAAATTTTAGATTTGTTTTGGTTTAAATAGAGTGACTTGACAGAGGTCCTATAAACTTTAGAAACTATAAAATACAGGTTCTTATATTTGTGTACAAACAGGATAGATCGTAAAATATATACTAAGCGGAAGTTTTATTTGTGAATAACTTTCGAAACATTCCAGTCTAATATATTTATTTAAGATATAAAAACAGATAAATGTCAATAACTTAAGTGCCTACTCATATATATATTATAAAACATACCTACCCTATATACCTAAGTCAATCTAATGTGAAAAATTTTTAGACGTCTCGTCATAGGACTTATTACATAAGTGCTTAAAATTAAAATTATTATATTCCCTATTCTTGCACTGATGACAACTAGTAAATCAAAGTATAATTAGCTTATGTGTAATATCTAGAAGTTAAGGTGGGTTGGTGGTGATATATATATTGTATTCTTACTATGTCACGCACAGAGCCGATATGCATCTATTTAGACATTCCTAGATAGACTTGTATTATGGTTGGTCAATTAAATACATCATGTATACAATAAACCTACAGAAGAAGGCAAGAGCATTTATTGGCATTTTATTTAAGTACCGATCTATATACTACTACTACTATTATACTATAGATGTGAAATAAATGGAATACAAAGAAAAATATCGTTTTATTGTCTATATTTTATCGTTACATGTAATAAAATCGTCGAACTTTAACAAGGCGAAATCTGTGTTGTAATTTGTAAATTTGTGTGTTTACTTCCTCTCGTATACCTACTGATGATATATATATATTTATAAAATAAAGTATCGTTCTACAATTAGAATGAGAATTTCACATTACTGCAATGAAATAAGAACCATGGGTACAACGATAGCCTTTATAGGGGAACAAAATGAAATTTACGTACCTACGTAGGAGAAATAAGGGAAAATTAAACGATAATGTAGGAGAGAATGAGAATGATATAATTGTCTACTGTGGGTTAGGTGGGTAGGTACATTCGAATCATATATATCTATCTATAATTAATAATGATATATGATGTATATATAGTTGTTCTTGTAACAAAACATCCCGTCCCCTGGATGAATGGAACCAAAGAAGAATGTTATATGTGCTTCTTACGACGCGACGCTAGACGCTAGTTTACATTTACCTACATGTGTTGTGTTCTACACGTGTTACAAGGCAATTATTGTTTACTATCGTAATTAACTGTTTAATTAAACAACACGCATACATACATACTACTACTAGACATACTATTTCAAATTATTAATCAATTATTATTTCTTACCAAGTAATAAGGTATTACCTATACCTATGTAAACATTTTTCGATCTAGAGGACATACTGGCTGGTTGTAAAAAAATCGTGTATCAATTTGTTTTTTTTTTTTCACAAAATTTAGTATTCTGTATCAATTTTACGGAAAAGAACGGGTTAAATTTTGGACATACTCGGAATTAGTAATCATGGGTTTTCAAGTGTAATGTTATTACGTAGCTTATTTTAGACAGCTTATTTGATGAGAAAGTTTTATTAGTAATTTGTACGATTAGAGTCATGTTTTTTTTAAGCTACATGGCACTTAAACTCAACAAACGTTATAAAAAAAAATCGTTTGTGGTCCTAGCTATTATTATACTTATTAAGCATTCATGGGTATTTTGTCAGTTATTATGTTTTTGTTACCAAGTCCTCTACACATAAAAATTAGGTTGAAATACATTCAACAAGCCATTTTTTTTAATAAGTTGTAAAGACGCTGAATTGGATATTTTTTTAAAAATCACATAATTTAGAATAACTCGAAACATATAGAGGGTCAAAATAATTGCATCTGAGCTCCTCTACCTAGTCCTGATGGGAAAACGTCGAGTCACCAGTAACCTTGTATACATGAGTAATATATTAGTTATCTGTGGTAATACCGATGGACAGAAACAAAAGATAGATGCTGACTGTTAAATAGTTCGTCCCGAAAATCATAGATGTCCTATATTTTGTTACGAGTTGTTCTTCCCCTCCCCTGAATGAATGGAACTGAATGGAACATTCTTAGCATCTTAGTACTGCGCTAACGCACATACACACGTGGTATAATATAATTGTTGTTTACTATCGTAATTTTGTTTAATCAAATAACAATGGCTTATAATACACTAGAAGAACTAGCAATAAAGTTGTTTGATATAGATGCAGTTAAATTCGGGGAGTTTAAGACGAAGAGTGGAACTATGACACCTGTTTACTTTGATTTGAGGGTTATAGTTAGTTATCCGGACGTAATGGTATGTGAAAAATTAATATTCTTACTAATAAGTTGTATCTAATACTGTCTTATATTAACTTATTATTGTACGACGTCAGATTCGACATTAGTTGTGTTTCATATTATATCTATTCCCAGGTTATTGAGACTGGTACTGTGGCTGTCATGTGGTGTTTTATAGAGTATCTATTGTATTCAAAATATTTATAATAATAATGTGTAAAGGGACCGGCTATATTATCAATTTAATTAACGACAATAATAAAATTATTTTTTTATTATTCAGAATTGAAATGAAATATGATTTTAATAATTTATTTGACTTGTATAAACATACTTGTGTTATAAACAGATGTTCAATATTTTAATATTTCAGATCCAATTCTAAAAGTGAATACACTTCAGGAATATAATTTGCTATTTTTGCATTATTTAAATATTAATTATCTACTTGTTTTTTTCAGGAACTATTAACAGTCCTGCTTTACGACATTGTTAGTAACCATAAAAAATATGATCACATATGTGGAGTCCCTTACACAGCTCTACCAATTGCTACTTTACTTAGTGTTAAGGTAAAGAAACCAATGCTATTGCGAAGAAAAGAGGCAAAAGCATATGGTACTAAGAAAATGATAGAAGGTCATTATAAAGTGGGTGAAACTTGTCTTATAATTGAAGATGTAGTAACTTCTGGTTCTAGTGTATTAGAAACAGTCAAAGATTTAAATAAAGAAGGGTTAATAGTTAAAAATGCTATAATTATTTTAGACAGAGAACAAGGTGGCAGAATGAATCTTGAATCCAATAATGTATATATTGATTCACTATTTACAATGACTGAGTTAATTGACATTCTCGAAAAACATAAAAAGATTACAAAAGAAATGTCTATAAAGATTCACAAATATTTAAGAGAAGTTAAAGCACCAGTAACTAAAGGTAAGTGCATATATCTGATTTCTATATAAGATTTACCATTTATTATATCAACTCCTTGATATAAGTTATTTTGTTGATGTCCATTTCCAACAATTTAATAATACTCATTGTTTGCAGATTCATTTGAGGACAGAATTCGAATACCTTTCGAGAAGAGAGCAGAGTTATCAAAGAATCTAGTAGCAAAACAACTCTTTAACATTATGTCTATTAAAAAAACAAACCTATGTTTATCTGTCGATTTGACATCAACTGTAAAAATTCTCGAACTTCTTGAAAAAGTAGGAGAATACATATGCTTAGTGAAAACCCATGTTGATATTATAGAAGATTTTACTTCTGATTTCATTTCTCGACTTAAACAATTAGCGGACAGATTTAATTTTTTGATTCTGGAGGACAGGAAATTTGCGGATATTGGTAACACAGTATCATTACAATATCAAAAAGGGTTATATAAGATTTCAGAATGGGCAGATTGTGTGACATCTCATTCTTTACCTGGAGAGGGTATATTGAAGGCTCTGAGCAGTGCATGTACTGGAATAGAAAACCGTGGTGTATTTCTTCTAGCTGAAATGAGCAGTGAGGTATAAATAGAATCTTAGCTCTTAGATGAAACGAAATTTAAAATTTAAACTTAGAACCTGGTTATGTAAACAAATTATTTTTTTTGACAGGGAAATTTGATCTCTGCAGAATACAGAGAAGAAAGTGTGAACATGGCTTCAAAGAATCCAAATATAATTACTGGTTTTGTATGCCAAAATAAGGATACATTTAAAGATCCTGGGCTGTTACAATTAACTCCTGGCGTACAACTCGAAAGTGCTAAGGATGATCTGGGTCAAGTATACAATACACCAGAAAAAGTAATTTTAGAAAATGGTGCAGATATTGTGGTTGTTGGGCGCGGAATAGTCAATGCAAAGAGCCCAGAAGCACAGGCGGTCGTTTACAGAGATGCTTTATGGAAATGTTATTCAAAAAGAATCTCAGGTAAATTAGAGTAAGTGTTAGTTGAGTAAAAAATATATATATATATATATATATATATATAATTATGGTATAGTAATTATATAACTAAAGAAGTAGTAATTGAGCGACGGAGCTGAGCTCGGCATCTATGCAATGGCGCTATATCTATAAAGTCAATTTTAGATTTGTTTTGGTTTAATACTGTCTTATATTAACTTGAATTTATTGTACGACGTCAGATTCGACATTAGTTGTGTTTCATATTATATCTATTCCCAGGTTATTGAGACTGTACTGTGGCTGTAATGTGGTGTTTTGAAGAGTATCTATTGTATTCAAAATATTTATAATAATAATGTGTAAAGGGACCGGCTATATTATCAATTTAATTAACGACAATAATAAAATTATTTTTTTATTATTCAGAATTGAAATGAAATATGATTTTAATAATTTATTTGACTTGTATAAACATACTTGTGTTATAAACAGATGTTCAATATTTTAATATTTCAGATCCAATTCTAAAAGTGAATACACTTCAGGAATATAATTTGCTATTTTTGCATTATTTAAATATTAATTATCTACTTGTTTTTTTCAGGAACTATTAACAGTCCTGCTTTACGACATTGTTAGTAACCATAAAAAATATGATCACATATG